ACATGCCTTTTGTATTATTTTTAAAAATCTGTTTGCTTCAGTTAATAATGAAGCTTCTATTAGATGTTCCAGAGAATTAAAGAGCTTCTTTAATTCTGCTATTTTTTTGGCAACAGTCATCCATGTTGATAAAATCTAGTTTTGCCCAGTTAGAAGATTAGGTGATTTTTAAAGGCCAGAGAGATGAACTTGTCGTCAGTATTAAATTGGTAACCATGATTTTCTTCCACTTAATGTTGATTCCATCCCTTCACTTGATTTGTTCAGCAGTTCTAAATGTAACTTCTATTGATTTCCATTCTATTTAATTTAATTTGATTTAATATTAGTTCCTGAAAGCATGCTGAAAGATCTTATTTTTTGTGTTTGTTCTTTGGATCTTCAAACAATTGAAGTTGATGAAATCTGCTGCTGATAGCTATGAATATAATTTAACGGACTATTAAAACAATCAATCAACTTGATTAGCTTAAGTTTAAGGAAGATATTTAGAATATTTAGATGGGACCTAAATCCATGAGTTATTTTTATGTTTTGTTCAACTGAGATGTACACATCAATCTAGATGGATAACTGAAATCTTATTGATTTCAGTAATTGAATATTATAAATGAATATAATCCAATGCCTAAATGTGATAAATGGAAGCTTTCCAGATCACAGTAATAGACTGGGCAGAAAACATTTTATGATCCACAGTGTCTCATTGAAGTACTACCATCATATTACTTAGTTCATTTTTCTACTTCAGTTTGATGCTCTTATTTAATTCATGTCAATATTTGATGCCAATTTCTCTCATTTTAAACATAACCTCTCCCTACAAGGCATCCAGAAGCTTATTGAAGAGTAAATTTTAGAACTGCCAAATCTGGACGATTAAGATATAAAATAAAATTCTGAATGATCAAAAGATGAGATAGAGCACTAATTTTTTTTGCTGCCATATATATTGATTACGTGGATTTGTGCAACCCATATATAACAGGCAACTCTAACAAATTCCAGAGGAGTAGCTATATTAATTTTATATAAGAGAAATGAAAAAAAAATAGCTTGTAGCATGGTGGGTTTTTTTGGTAGTATAGACTTCTTCATCGGGGTCTTACTTGAAGTTGTGGATAAAATTGAATCTTGGAGATGGAGTTTAATTCACAAACAGGAAGATTATATATTTAAATATACAGAGTAAGCAACAGTAAACAATTTTAAACAATTGTTTAAAGCTTAGCATGAGATGTGAACTCTGCCATGATGATTTCTAAAGCCTGTTTCATGCCTTATGTGTGAACCAATATGTTTTGTTCTGTGAAATACTGTTAAAACTGTGCCTTACGTGTGCATGATGTGCAAATCCAACAGTGGAACTTACTTCTGAGTAATCATACAAAACTTGTGTTTTAAGTCTTTATTGAATCATAAAAATACCCTGTTTTTCTTCTGATATAAGGAGCATTTATCTAGTCCGAGATGGGTATATAAGGGTTCTTTTAAAAGTTCCCTAAAGATATATGGCATTAACAATTTCTTTTAACAGAACAAATCATTCCAAGATTAAAAGAAGACTGACATGCATTCTTATTTTATGGATTTCAAGTTTCACAAAGAAACAAATGACAAAAAAGAGAATGTATTACTTTTATTTCCACCCCCAACTGGCTGTTGTGGTTGTCTTACTATTTCCTCTCTGCATCAACAGTTACTAATTTTAGTTTCTAGAGGTATTGAGGTACCGGCATTTCCATTTCTAGGAAGCCATTCATATTTTTGAGAATTTTTGAAGATGTCTTGTTCTGAGGGGAACGATATCTCCAAGCTAATGTTAAAATGGCATTTAACAAATTTTAGAGTTCTCAGAATGAGCTCCTTCATCAATACCTAGCTTTCTTTTAAAAGACAGTGAAGCCTGGGTCAGATACTACTACACTATATATAGGAAAGAGTTCTCCTGCATCGTATAAATGCCTATGTAACCCAGCATGTTGCTTTTCCAAATGATTAACTTCCAAAGGGAAGCCATCACATAGAAGTATCTCCACTGTTATATCCAGGAACTGGTATTCGGTGCTCTTAACCTCAAAATCTAGAAATAGCAATTGTATCTAGTAGCCCTCCACCAATATGTCCTCAATCAATCTGCTTAATTTTCTTTTAAAGCCCTCTAGATCGGTAGCCATCATGACATTCTGAAAACGTTCATTCATAATCCAACTATGCTTCATGTGTTTTGCTCTTTTACTGTTCCATATCCCTCAACATTCATGGGTTTTTGTATTATAAGGCAAAACAACATCATCATCTCTGTCCATTTTCTCTACATCATAACTGTCTATAATCCTTAAATGTGTCTTAGAAACTATTATTTTTTCTAACTTGGACAGTGAATTTTCCCAGTCTCCTTTCCTCCAACCTTTTGAGATATTCAGTACAATGTTTGCACTATTTCATCTTAAATCGTATTTTGTCTAGATTCCATTTCAAATTGTATTTTATCAAGTACCATTTTAAATAGTATTTTATCAAAATTCATTTTCGATTGCTTTTATTAAATTTTGGTTTGTTGCTGGAACTTTGCACTTTGATATGGCCCAAGGGCTAATCAATAAAGAATTATTATTATTATTATTATTATTATTATTATTATTATTATTATTAT